CCTGCTGAGACTGCTGGAGAGATGGGGAGTGAATGGGGTTGAGTGTGGGGTGCACCCTGGGGACTCCCATGGAGTGGGGACAGCGCCTGCTCTGTGCTTGCTGCCTGCCCAGCCCCTCTCAGCTGAGCTGATGCACAGTGCCTCACTGATCAGGTATGTGCAGACGTCTAGCATCATTCCTGAGGTCTTTTTTTCCTAGCAAACACAGGATTTACTAGAAGAACACATCCCTGAGTTTTTTGGTTGTTTTTTTCTTTTTTTTTCTTTCTGTGTGGTTTCTCTTGGATTACTGTGTTGTGATGATTTTTTTGGTTGTAGTTTCTTTTCAATAACACATGCTCAAACCAATATTGATTTCTGCAGCTTTGTGCTTTTATTACTGATCATGAAATGCTGAATCACCCTTCCTGATGGTCAACAACTGGCACAGTGAGAAAACTGAGGAGGACTTCCTCCACATTTTTTGTATTATATTTATAGGCTGGAATGAAAAAAAACTAAAATGACTTCATACTTTGCCTATACAACACGTATTTAGTGTCAGTGCTTACACAGTCTAACTCTCCTCTCACGCTGCTGTAAGTCTCACCTGCTTTACCAAGTTACTCCTGAGATTCAGTTAAAAAGGCAGTCAGTCTCACAGTCCTTTCTGCTGGCTGTGTTATACTCTTCCAGCCATTTTAGTGGTAACATTACAACATATTGGTGGTTACATGTTATAACCACGTGATCACAGAATATACACATTTGTCAATATAACTGCACATCCAAATGATGTGCAAAATGAATGCAAAGTATCTGTGCTACTTTCAAAAATCAAACCCCAGCTTCTGCAGAATAGATATCTGTGATCATGTGAAAATGAGCAGACAATAAAGTACAAAAGAGCAACACTATTTCCATTGCTGAATGCCATTTGTTACCTGTGGGTAGGTTAGTCGTGGCTTCAAAGAAAGGAAAAGTATTTCAGTTGTACACGTGAGTCTACAAGAAGTCTTTGTAAGTCAAAATGAAATTACCTATAACTACCAAAGGCTTCAATCTTTAATTCATTGCCATTTCTAACTACTTGGTTTACTGTGGGTCTAGGCAGCTTGGAAATAATTTGCATGTATCTCCCTGCTTCCCACTGAGGAATAAAGGGCTTAAAGAAGAAGCATTATTCTGTATTTACACTTAACTACCATATCTCAAGCTCCGAAAATGGCATTTCTACAAGACACATTTTCTTTTTTCCCCAGGATAATTAGTTCTTCTTCAGTTTCTGATCTCCATCATACTAAATCAAACGTCCTCAGAGAGTCATGGCTAAGCTATTTCAAAACTGCACGCCAGAGATTAGATGCCAATTACATATTGGCAATGTACCTGATCCAAAAGTTCCTGAGATTCAGAACTGAAGCACAGCCACAGCTCATGTTATGGAGAAGAACAGATCCACATTTAGTATAGGTGTAAATGAGACCAGGGTTTGACCTGTTGCATCAGGTTTTGGTGTCCCATGTAAGCAAGCTTGTTGACTTTGCAGTTGCCTGAATAGAGCTGGTTTTGGAAGGCAGCCTGGTAGTTTGAAATGGGGAAAAAGCAGGCAGAACACGGATCTTACAAATATGTACAGAGTGAGAGTTCTACCACCATGCCAGTGCAAGAGAAGGATTTAATTATGCATAAAATGGTGGCACAGGATATAGTACTGTGTTGAAACATTATTTGCCAATAAATTCCCCCCAGAGAGCAGGAGAAAACTGGGAATTTGGTCTGAACATATATCAAAAAGTAGAAAATAAGTGGTATTAATGACTGAAAGTAAAAAATGATGTCAATAACAACACAACTACCACCACCACAATGGGGCAGACTATTTGAGGGGTATTTGTATCATTTCGTTTATTTGCCATAGGGCACCAGGGCTTGTGTGAAGTCGAAAGCCTCTCTATGGTGTGCTTATTCCCACTGGATTAATCTTTCTGTAGATTGAGGCATGGGGGAGGAGAAGAGTAAGTAAGTTCACATTTGAGATGGTTGCAGCAGTGACTGGGAAAGGCGGTGTTTCTGCAGAAGTAGTGAAGTCTGAGATAATAAACCACTCTCCTCAGGGACTTCTGCCAAACGTATTCGGATGACCTCCAAGCATGACCATCATTCTCTTGTTTGCTTCCTGCCCCCCTTAAATAGCTGACAGCCTGATTGCAGCCTACCATTTATTCCCATTAGCAGATATTCCCCCATGCCAACCTTAAAGCACAGCTGGAAGCTACTGGTATAAAGTACTCACTGAAATGTCTTAGCCCACTTGGAATAATTTCAATTTGTGGTGGATCAGAAATAGAGGAACTAAAGGATTAGCAATTAAGCTAAACTTGGAGTACCTTAACTACTTTTTTCCTCTGTTTTTTGTTCAAAGAGAGCATAGACTAACAGCTTTGATATAGACTTTTTGTTACTACCTTTGAAAAGTAATCATCCCTCCCACCCTCTTCTCCAAAGACCCTCACTAAGATTACTTGATCAAATTGTTAAATGCTGAGCATGCCAGAGCAAAGGTTCTGCTAAGTCACTTTTAGATTGCAATCTAGGGATGTGATTGTCACTATTTTTATTCAAGGCACACTGCTTAATTTGCTGAACAAGGTGGACAGTGTTCAATGAATGGGCAGCTCTTTCAATAGTTCTTTTTTACTTTCATCGGTCAGTGTGTGTCCTTAAGCATCATCTCTTGAGTACCATATTAACCTAATTACAAATACAAGGTGATTAATAGCCTCATGGGCTTTCCTATGGGATCACTGTCCTTGTCTCCTTACGCCTTGCAATATAAGAATATTTGCTAAAACTTGGATGGGGTGGCTCCCATTTGAGGGACTAATGGGTAAAACTGTCAGAGGTATCACTAATACAGTGCTATTTGGCCCAGATGCTGGTGTTTACGTGGTAAAAATTGCAATCTGCTAAAACTGGGAGTTTAGAATGGAAAGTACTGGACATGTTCAGCTGACTCGTAGTGCCCATAAACATAACTGTCAATGTAGTCATGAAATTCATATAGGGAAAAAACCCACTCACACATACATTTGCCCCTATGTCCTCTGTGTCCTATGTATTGGTGTATCTATTAATTATCTCAGCGTCTGTAAAGGCCAATATTCCTTTTGAAAATGAAAAAGCCAAAATTGACAAAAGAAACAGTGTTTCACTGGAAGCAAATGAAGAAATTTCATGTCAGGATACCTGAGTAGCTCTTGAATAAATTTACAAATGAGGTTCTGCCACAGTCACTTTCTTTGGATACCAGCTAATGCATCCAGACACCCGGCGCTGGAAGGACGCATTGTTTTGAGAAGCAGGTCATGTTTAATAACGCCTTGCTAGAAATACTCTACAACTGGGTCAGCTCCCATTTGAATATCCAACCAGTGGTTAGGTTTTCCAGAACAGCCATGGAAGATTGAATCTTGAACTGTTCTCATAATCTGTCCTCAAATACTACCAAAAGGACACACTGCATCACTTTTATAAATCTAAGCCTTTTTTGGAGGAAGCCTAAATTGAAGCAGAACACCTCAATATAGGTGAATGGAAAGATTTGGAGGGAGAGAGACAGAAGAGACAGGACAGAATTTGATTCCAAGTCTTTATGTCTGTCTCTCCTATAAAAGTAATTT